AGAGAGAGAGAGAGTGTGTGTGGAGCGAAACTTGTGTTTCACAATGGGTAACGAGATTACACGTACCACCAGGGCCGTTCGGGCCGCGCGGAAGTGCACGTCGAGAAGTTACATCGGAGTGCGTTCCGGCACTCCCGTTCGTTCCCGAAGTGAACGTGCTAGGTTTACCGTCAGGAAGACCTTTTCGTGTTCGAACTCTCTTCTCGTGTAAAAGTGCGCTACGAACAGCGTTCGCCAGAGATCAAAGAGCGATTTCACGAAGAGACGATCGATCGGTCTAGAGTGCTGTGCAGAGCGCCCCAGAAAACGCTTGACTTTAATTTTTACGAACGGGATCATCGATAGATTCGCAAAGATCATTTATTCCGTTCTGGCACGAGCTTCCTCCGAAAATAGAGTTAATTTAGTATTAATACGTTAATTGATTAAAACGAGGGTAAAACCTTTGAATTATTCTGTACAACGGGTCGGATCGGTCGATCGTGCGCATGTCTTACGAAAATTCGCAAATATTCCCTGCACACGACGTTAATAATTAAATTTTAAATGTCAACGCCGCTCTCTCTAGCGAAAAAGCTGTACTCCCTGTATTATTTCTTCTAGAGAACACGTCGCTTACGATCAAAGTACAGGCGAGTCGATCCATTTTATGCCAATTGCTTTTCGACAAGAGAGAATTTATCACTCAAACTTGGGGACTTAAATTCTATTCGAGTTCGGGAAACTTCGACTTCTTAGATATCTAACAATGCGAGAATTGATTGCCATTTGATATTTTTGCAGAATGTAACCAAAGGAAAGTTTCTACGGTGACGAAAGTCTAATAGAAACCTCGCTATGGCTAATTAACATATATTATAAAAATCTACAGATTATATATTATTTTGCAACAATTGCAGCCACATTATAGCAATTATTATAAATAATTCTCGACGCAAATAGCAAATATCTTTTCTTTTGGTCACTCTAAATGATTCCAATATCTCTTAATAAAATTTTTAATAAATTTTTAATTAAATTGCTCGAGATACTACGTGATTTTTATGAACTCATTTTACTTGGACCAGAAAAAAGATAAGTATTTGTTATTAACGTCGGCGGTCGCTTACGACTCGATCCCGTGGATGCTAAAAATACGTACGTGCTCCGTCACTACGACGGTTTCTCAAAATCAAGCGTTCGTTCTTGTTCCGGCTGATCTCGAGTGCGAGGACGCCTTGAACTTGGGACATTTGTGCTTCCGAAAAGGGGAGCCTCGGATACTTCGGTAACATTTCCTTCTTTGCATTTCACGTGATTCCGAGATCTCGGATTTAAAAGTGGGTCGGCGACGATGACGACAACGACGACGACGACTACGACGACTATGACGACTACGACGACGTCGACTACGTTCCAACGAGCACTGCGTGTCCGACGTCTTGTCCTGGTTCATGTAGGGCGGAATGGTACGCAAACACTCTGTATGGCTCAGGACGATACGGCTGGCTCGTTCATGCTGCTGCGGACAGAATTAGACCCCCAATGATGACGATGACGACGATGACGTAACGCGGCGGATGCATCCGCCGATCGTGTGACGCTGACGTCGACGTTCGCCGACGTTTAAACGCAGTTAAATCATCGATAATGACGACACCGCCGCGAGCTGCTAATCGCCCTTCCAATAGCTGTCGATTGCCCGCCGGCTGTTTCGCTGACAGTCTACAGGTCTGATTGGAGTAAGAAACGATCCAATTTTGGCGAAATTAGTCGGATCGATGTACGAGAAGTGTACAGATTAAAATTGGATAGAAGAGAATCGACTTTATTAATTCTTGTTGCCACGGACAGTTTTGATATCCGAAATTAATAGACGCGTCTCGAAACGCGATTCGACGATAAGAATAGCCTCCCAAAGGATATATAGCGTCCTCGGAATAATTTATAAATCAAAGAGACATATTCGCCTATATTGACGAGATAAATCAGTTGTCAGCCACCGATTGAAGCGTCTCCGCTCGCGGATTGCGTGTTACTCTGGCTTTCCCGTATGTAACATTCGTTCACGCCCGCGCGTCTCTTCCGCACCTCCACCGCCGGTGTTTCGCGGCGTCAATTTCTAATATCGTCAGACGTCGCGTAACTTCGACGACGATTGACGTGCGAAGGCATTCAACGTCTCCTCGTTGACGCCTCGTCGCTCCGTCGAGTTCGTCATGGCTCGAACAATGAACGCCTTCGAGGCGTTGCGGAAATTGCGCGTTTCGCGCCGCGACCGCGCCTTCCTGTTCGCGGTACGATCGCCGCGGTATTTTTTTGTGCGTAAGCACGTTCAAAGGACGGTCGCGGTCTCGTCGTCTCGCTTTGACGCTAATCGGACCGTGATGGCGACATGGAAATTTCGTTCGATAATATCGCGCGGGAGTTGTGCAGACATGGGCGGTGCTCCGGGTTTTCTGCTGTCCCGAGCAAAGAAATCCCGGCGAGCCCCTCGCCCCTCTCCCACGGATATCCTCTTTTTCCCTTTCCATTTTTATTCGCGCGTCAATTCTTTTCCCTCCCCGAAGCTCTTCTTGTTTCGCGTACAAAAGAGGCACGATGCTCGAAACGCAAATCGTTCAAGCAAACGAAGTTTCAGCCCGTCCCTCGCGGCATGAATATTTTCATCAGATATACACGATGAAAAATCTCCCGACGATTTCGTTCCGTGTGTTTCCTAGAGTTTCGCGAGAGCGCTTTATGCTTTCGGGGGAATTTTTTCGGGCGGAAAAGCTCGGGCGAAATCCATTTTTACGAATACACTGCGATATAAGATCGCGCGCTTCATCGAATCGCGAAGTTATAAATTCACTCCTGGAATCCCCGAGTTAATTCTCCCACCACGGGACCCACCAGGTACGTCGTTAGATACGTTTCAGCAGGGACGATGACGACGACGACAACGACGATGACGACGACGACGATAGCGACACGGCAATGGCAGCGGCGATGGCGGTGGCGGCAGCAGCGGCGGCGGCGGCGGCGATGGTTGTCATCGATTTTTCATCGCGTTTCCACTTATCCGATCTTTCATATTTCAACCGCTCGATTGTATGCCGGCGCGCACAATTTATTTAGCTTCCGTTGATCCGTATCTCGTGATTCGCGTCGTTCGTCCCGCGTGTATCGATTATCCCCAACGCTGGCTATTACCTTCGGGAGCGCGCGAGTATTCCGCGCGAGTAAACACAGGCGGGTACGAGAAAATTCGTTTCGCCGATACACCGCCGTTTCGCGACCGATATTCCGCACAGGATTCCGCGGAATAACTCGCGCATCCCCCGCATGCACGGTCGTGCATTATTTCTACTGCCGCAATTCCTCAATGAGAGACGAGGCGCGCGATTCCCGATGCTCGCGGTAAAATCCGGCGAATCGAGTCGGGGAAAAACCGCTCGATAGCACGGCCGCGAAAACAAATAGCCGAGGAAGGGCTATCGCGATTTATCGCGATCTATGGATTCATCTAAATTCCTATGGATTTCCTCCATGCGTTTCGAACGCGTAAATTTGCTGCGAAAGCTTGAACGAGATTTAATCGC